ATCTTCCAAGGATCCGGGGCTGAAACATCAAAGATTTTCCCTAGGGATGTGCCTGACTTCTGTTGACAGCATACTTTAAGTTTTCGTGAGGCATGATCCTTTCAGAATAATTTAGTACATCGAATATCTTGATTTGGAAAATTTTTGATGCTGTCATATTATCTTCCTGGGAAAATATTTCAAGTTCACAAAAGGTGATTACAATGATCCAATCGTTTATGAACACGTTAAAATATATATTTTTCATTTTTTCTCTTCTGATCTTATTAATTTTATTTTACCATTCCTGTAGTATTCCTGTTAATTATCTCGTTTATCTCCATGATCTACCCAATCAGTCATATATTCTTTCCATAATAATATCATTTTTCTCTTTCCCTCATATCAGTAACTGATTCTTTCTCCATAGTTTTTTCATTTGTCCTTCGTATATAAGCAGTTAAGAGCTGATAAGATTGATAGATTGGTACTCTCAGAGGCGTGAATGTATATAGGTCTACCTTTGAATTGTTAGTAGCTTCATTGGAATTATTGACTCTGATGTAGGCAGATTAGCTATATTTGCAGCAATCAAACATTACCACTAATCTCAGTTTTCTGTCTTTCTTTCTGTTGTCTAGAGTCATATAAATTGTTTTTTTAAGACTTTCTGTTCATAGCAACAGAGACAAGGAAGACGCGAATAGGATTAATTATGTATTATTGATAAGTTTCTATCATATATGCGATATTTCATAAATTTTGTATTTTTCTAATGTTCTTTGCTAGGCAGACATTGAGGATATATATTTAAAGAGCAACATCTGATTTATCATCCAAAATTTATTGAAATCGATTGGCATTATTAATAAGATAGTACACTATTGGAACCATGTTGAAATAATTTTATTAGATCTGTTTTTTTACTCTTTTACACAATATCGTTTATCTTATGCATATAAAAATCGATAGCCTAACGTAGTTACGAATTTTACTCAATAAAATACATTAGCTAAAATTACTCTAATATTTAACATATGTTTTTCAATAACGCACTTTCTTACTTATGATACCAATCGAATGGATAAAATTGGGATGATAGCTTAGACGTTAGTGTATAATATATATCTTCAATGTCTACTCAGGCTGGAATATATAAGAAATCGAAAAAAATTCAAAATGAACCCGAAACATATAAAACATTTTTTTGTATGCGTTACTGTCAGCGAATGTACGCTGGTTAAATGGGATTCTTGAAGTTAGAATAGTTTTTATCGTGCAGCTTCACTTGTTACTAGGTTTTTGATTTCTGAACCGAATGAATTGATAGAGAAAATAGTCCTAATCCATAAATTTAGCTTGCTGAAAAAAATAGTTTAGATGAGTTCTTTATTATTTCAATCTTGTTATCATCTTGTAACAATGTCTTAATACTTTGATTTTGCTCTGCACATATTTCTGTCACCTTAAAAAATAGAGATTCGTAAAAAGCTAAATTAAATTATGCAGTCATTGTTACCAGATGATAACACGATTGAAATAACAAAGAACTCGTCTAAACAGTTTTTTCAGTAAGCTAAGTCTATGGACTAGGACTATGTTTTCTGATGATTCACTCAGTCCGGCAATCAGACACGTAAAAGTGCGCTAAATATCTTGAAAGAAGACAAACATCGTAAAAAAAGTGCGCATTTTTATGCGTTCATAGCGCAATGAAAATCTCAAACAAATATAGATTCGTTTGGAATCTTTAACTCATTTTGAACACGTAAAAGTGTGCGCTTTTTACGATTTTATTTTCGTCAAACTGTCGATGCATTTTTATACGTTTTTTCATTGTTTCTCTGACTAAATACTTTGAAGATGTTTAATTTATTGAGGATTTTAAACGTGCTTTCATCCCATTATCGTGAAAACAGCAAGTAGACAATTTGAATTTGTTTGCTTTTATTTCGGGAAGATGTCAATGTCGAAATCAATAAACGAAAGTCAGTGCGGCGAGACTCGAATGGAGACTGATTCAAATGGTAGTTTTCTACTGGAAAAGCTTGACAAGGTCAGTATAAATTCAGTATGAGTATTTTTTACTAATCAATCATTAAATAGTAGGCAATTTATGCAAATCCAGCTGAAGTCGCTGAATGTTGGAATGATTTTCTAAGACACTATATGGATTGGAATTGCCGACATTTAAGCAATCAATATTCGAAGTCACAATCCAGATGGACATTGCATAAAAAAAAGGCAATGTTACGTCAGCTGGTTGAAGACCTCGATGATGAATCTCAAAATTCTCGTCTGCACACGATTGCATCGCGTGACAACAGTTTTGTGCTCAAGAAACTGGCTCAAGAAACTGATTGCGGTTCGTAAAATGTTTCTAATGGGCATCTATTTCTTCTGCTCTTTCATCGTAGATCTCAACATAGTGAATGGCAAAGGCAAGACAATGCTACATATAGCAGCAAGTTTCAAGCCAACCAATGAAATGCATGAAAACAGCAATCATTTCGAAGACGACAACAACAAAAATCAGCCATTTACTCAATATTCTCGTCAACAATCAGCCATTAATGGTATCGTACTTCGCATGGAGCAAGATAACCCTAGGGATGACACAGTTAGTTGAACTTAAATATAGCTCTATATGCTATTACTTAGTCTTTCTGTTACAGAATATATCAAATGTACTGTGCGCACTTCTCGATATGGATCATTCCGATCGAGTGGATATCGAGAAACGAGATAGTCAAGGTCTTAGAGCTCTTCATTATGCCGTTATGAGTGATTGCTCAGCAAACGTGAAACAGTTGCTTTTGCACGGAGCTAAATATGATGTATGGTTATCTTTCTTTTTCTGTATTACATAGGAATTCATGTAATTGATAACAGGTCGTGGATGTATACCAAGCGACTCCTCTTCATTATGCATGTCGTTTCAATAAAGAACGAACAATCGTTGAATTATTATTGCGTCAAGCTGCTAAAGACTGTAAAAAAACCAATGATCAACATCTTGCTGATTCGATTCCAATTTGTCCCAAAGTGCAAAACTATGTCAGCCAACGCACCGCAAGTGGTCAGGATGCCTATATGGCTGCTATTAGTGAACATCATGATGCGATTGCCAAATTTCTTGAAAATTACCTGGAGAGAATACCTTCGGAGTTACATAGAGGATCATTAGACAAGGATCTCGAAAACCTAGAAAATATTCGACAAGCTATGCAAACTTGTGACAACAAGAAATTAACGAAATTACTTAAAGAGCGATCACGCTTACAGAAGCTTAGAGTCATACAAGAGAGACATCAAGAAACGCCTCTTCACATGGCTTGTACCTATGATAGACATGATCTTATAGAAGCTTTCTTGTCTAAATATAATGAAGCATGTTACCTGGATCAGACTCATTCACTGACTATATACCATCAGCCCCAAGGCTTCCCGCCTCTACTTACTGCCGTTCACACTGGTAATGAATTATGTTTTCAAAAAATTTTCAATTATCTCAGCAAAAACCGAGCCTATATGAAGAATGGCTCAATCGCTCAACCAAATAAATCAGGCTCTGATTCAAAAAATAGGTATGCTATCTTTAAATTGAACAAACCATCTGTAACTTATTTTCTATAAGATGCACAAATGTATTTCATCTATGTGTACAGCTCGACCGCACTACAATGTTGAAGCACATCTTGAAAACAAGCAAGGAAAGCACACTTTTAGTGGATGAATTAATTCGACCTCTATTAAACGCTGAAGATGTTCACGGTCATACTCCAATGTATATTGGAGCTCGTCTTGGCCACCACAAGGCATGTGATTTACTGTTTGAGTTGGTAATTTTAATCACATGTCAGTCAAGTGAGCCGGATGATGGTTTTTCTAATAATGAAGTGGATACTGGCGTTGATCAAGGTAAGATCCTCTTTTTTTTTCTTGCATGTATCTTTATTCAAGATTAGTAGCCGATAACAATGAACAATCTGATAACGTTACCATGTTACACCTAGGAGTTAGTTCATTTTTCCTGTTGCTTGATTGAAAATAAATTCTCATATTATAGCTAATGATGAATATCGCCTCGCGATTGAAAAGACACAGACGTAAGTTATGTCAAGCCCAGATTCGACCTTTTCTATGGCAGATTCGTCTAGAAACATGTTCCAATACTGGTTTCATATGTTTCAAGTACAACTTGAGGAGCTCTATCCGATGCTGAAAACTACTAATCGATACCTTTTATAATAACTGAGAAAAATAAAAAAATATAAAACTATCCTCTATGGCATACCGCGTTGGTTACCATGACCAAACGTGTAATAAGGATTTCTCGGCAACAGAACATGCTATCGAGATAAAATGTTCAGCATCTGGTACAGCTCGTTGAATTCTACTTAGAATACGAATAGTTTTGGTAGAACATATTCATAGATGAATCTGCCCTGAAAACGGTCGGATCTGGACCTGATATAACCTACATAGGATACAATATTGACTACGCTAATCTTGTTGCTTCCGATCTTGGTGGAACGAATCGAGCTCCCATACATGAAGCAGTTGCTGCTGGTAAAACCGATACCGTTCAACTATTCTTCAATCGCATCGTTCAATATGATCAAAGAAAACGATTGCTCTCTTTGAAAAATGAACAAGGACAAACAGTACTTCATCTAGCTGTGATACATGGTCTTTACATTTTCACAATTCTTTTTTTAAAAATTTTACTTCATGTATCTTAGGTCATCTAGCGATAGTCTCTATCTTGCTTACCTACGAAGCCAACATCGATTCAAGGGATATCCGTGAAAACACACCTCTGCATTATGCTGCCGCTTCTATGCAACATTTACAAGAGCAATCAGTTCATGTTTTCGACCAATTTCTGAAACGTATGGCTCAAATACCGTTTAATACAACTGTACTATTGTATTCTTTTAGTTTGTCGTACGTGTGAAACCGGAGATGATTATTGTGATGATGATGACAATAAGAAGAATATGTTGCCTTCCAATATAATGAATTCTCTCTTGGCTCGTGATCGAAAAGGTTTCAATTGTTTGGAAGTAGCTATTAGAGCTAACAATTATCCGTTCGTCAAACGTCTCTTTCAATGCAAATATACTCAATGGAAGCAATTGATGCGCAATGCTCAATTCAGTCAAAACAATACAAGTGTCGATACTCCTATGCGAAAATTAATTCGTTATATGCCAGACATGGCATATCAAGCACTCGACAAATGTAAAAGGGATACTAATTTCTTAAATGAACATAACAAATCAATACGTGGAATACAATTCGATTTTGAATTACTCGAAGATCATTGTGATGTTAAAAAATGGCAATACGATACATCAAGTAACTTCCAGAAAAAACAAAAGGAGAACAGAAAGCGAAATTGTTTTAATCATTCGCGTGAGTTACATTTTGTTTGTGATGGATTATCCACAACATTCGACGATGATGTCCTGGAAGCGTACACTGATAATGCACATGTTCTTGTCAAAAATCATATTCTTTCGATAATTGTTCAGCAAGCTAGAGATAGTGACACAACAGATGAAAATATTGTACAACTTCAAACGAAATTGCTTCGACATCCAACATGTCAAGAGTTAATGCGTCGACAATGGTATCACTTTGGACTTCGGATCTTTTTAACTTGTTTTTTCGCCTATCTAATGTATTTGGGTCTCTTTACTTGGGTTGTCCTTCGTCATACTAATCCATATCATTTCTACAATGCGGCTGGTATTTCTTTTCCAAATGATGACGAATGTGAAAAAGTGGCACAGATAATCAAAAGTGGACAGTACAATATAACACAGAAGCCTGGTTGGGGTTTGAAGACGTCTACTGATCTAGCTCTAAAATATACTATTTATTTTCTTCTTTGGTTACATGTCGCTAAAGGAATTCTTTTCATCATTATCTATCGAGGTCGACCAGTTTTTCGATTTTATATTGAAGTGGTTTCTCTCATCCTTGGTTTTGTCTTTTTGTATGATAACCCATCGTGGCAAATAGATGTACAACTCCGTTGTTTCGTGCAATGGCAAGTCGGTGCATTTGGTCTCTTTCTCGCATGGTCTACTCTACTTGTTTACATTCGATTTTTTCCATTGATTGGTGTTACGGTAGTTATGCTCGAGGTTGTTGTTCGGCGATTCATATGGGTGACTCCTGCTCTTGTCATTCTTATTTGTTCGTTTTGCTTCTCTTTCTTTATGCTTCTACAAGATCAGGCTGTCTACGGTAATGTTGGCCTCGCTTGGATGCGAACAGGTTAGAAAATCAAAGTGAATATGAGATATAGTAGGTATCTTGATATTCTTTTGTTTAGCTTTCATGATGCTCGACAATGGTTATGAGACTCGATTCTTTGGTCCCAGTGGAGATTCGGTAATTATTTTGTATCCTATCCTTTTTTTCATGTTTATTCTTTACGGTATCACTATTGGCATACTGTTTAACAATCTCTTGATTGGTAAGAATCAGTTCTAGTATTCTACTACTAATTAACTTCTACCTGTAGGGTTGGCCGTCGGAGAGATTCCCCGACTATCCGACATCGCAAAATTGGAGAGTGCCAAACTTCATTATGACCTCTTGCATGAATGTAAACTTTTTCGTCTAGTTTATTTCTGGAAACCCTATCCATCACTTTACTTACGTTGGAAAACTGACGAACAAATGTATGGATGGAAGAAAAGTATGACTCAACTTAAAAGATTTTTCAAATTTTGACTTTGGATGTTATCTTAAATAAGAGTAAATTGAATAAAAAGAAAAATACGCATGAAGACCATCATTCACATATCAAATATTGATTTATTAGAAAAAATCGGTTTTCCTTTTGTATGAGGAGAATTAAATGTTTACTCAGACACTTTTTTCTCAATAGAAATGTTATATTCCATTTTTTTCCAATTCAGTAGTAAGATTCGAAATAAGTCTAAAATGGACTTATGTTTAATAACGTGTTGATCTTCAATGAAAAGTATGTAAATTTCATGTATTTTTCCACAAGCATTTGAGGAAGGTCATTCAAGGATGGGTGTGACATGTAGATCTTCACACCCACACCCATCCCAAAACATCAACCACATCCTTATCGAACTAATTACATTACCAGTGAAGTGGTCTCGATCAAGATGAGATATGACAATAACATGTTGAATTCATCATTATTTGTTCCATCCAGAGTTACCGAGCAAAGTCAAGTAAATCTACAACAATAGTCGAACGACAAGGCCAAATTCTCTTCAGCGCAGTGCCGAAGTTTTAGGATGAGGATGAGTAAAATTATATTTTTGGGTCGAATAATCTGACAAATATGGGCAAGTTTTTGATTAGAGACTGACTTGACTTCAAATTGATTCTTGCTGCTAACAATTAAGTAAAGTTATTTACAAATAAGTCGAACCGACAGAAGTATTGGCTATCCATCGAGATGGGAAAAAATCCTATGAAGAATCTCAGTTGGCAATTATAAAAGTGTCCCAATGTCTGTTGCGATAATTAATAACGCATTTGTTTTATGTTACAACGCGCATCGAACGGCAATGAAGAATTTTCTTTCATTGTGCAACTTTTTTGTGCAGTGAGACCACATATGAAGGAAACAGAGGAATATTTTTCACGTGAAACACTTATTTGTCACGAAATTCACAACTACACATGGCTTGATGCCGCCTTCATCCATAGAGAAGAGTAGAAAGATTGCAGACTAAAAAATCACTCATTTCACTTATGCATGTTGTAACTTAGTCTGTGGTTGTTTTTTTTTCTTGTTTTTATTAGGTATGTTGATAAATCTCGGCGAGAAAAGTCCACCTAAAAATGATCAAGAATCGATAGTATGAACTTGTTCCTCTACATATCTCTTCTTTCCTCTACATACTGTCTGCAATTATTCCATTTAGGACAATAGCAGCAAAGGATTCTGTAACATGTGTCAGCTATATAGGGTGTGGGTGTAGGCGGGTGCGTGAGTGTAGGGTGTGGGTGTGGAGTGTGAGTGTGGATGTGGGTGGGTGTGGGATGTGAGTGTGGGACGTGGGCGTTGATGCTGATGGGTGTCGTGCTTGGATGTGTGGGTATGGGTGTGGGTGTTCGCTTCATCCATACCCTCTCCCCCTCATACCCACACCCACACCAAGCCACACCCTATTGATAAATTGACTGATACTCGTATCTGCAACCATCAAGTTCTCATTATGGCAAAGCAATGAAATGGAAAGTCTTCTATCTACCATACTAAAATAGCCCGACCATCCAGAAGCAGCTAAACTAGGTAACCATCGGGCAAAACCTCGAATCCATTGTGCATAACGAGTATCATTTGATGCTTTGATTTTCAGCAGACCAGCAACAATGTATGGCGTTGGAAATGTTCGCAAGACAACCGAAATAACAACAGCATAAGTGCCAGGGCCTCTACCATCCAATGCGCAGAATAAATCCCCATATTCACAAAGAATCACTGTTAGACGTCGACTATCGGCAATCACAACGTCATATTCAAGTACTTCATCCGTAGGCATATCGGGCCAGCATGACAATGGACTATGACTCCTGCCTTGCATATAGCCACCAGCAGCAGTCATCGATTTACTTGTTCTACCGAAAACTGTTAAACTATGGAGTAATTGTCCCTAATAACGACAATAAAAACATAACATGTCTTGATTGATTCAGTTCTCAACTAGTTTACACTCGATTAAAGATACTTTTACATATGCATAATCTTCGGAGTGTCCACTTTCAAATGGTGTAACAATCACTTTGCACTGAAATGTACTGGCCAAGAAATCAGCGGCCTACGATAATGACCTGCTTCTGTTGTTATTAGGATCCGTTTTCCTAATAACGACAGTCAGCTAATTTTTGACCCCAATAACAACACTCTTATAAAATTCAAATGAAAAGGTATTGTTTGAGAAAAACAAGACTTTTC